TCTGTAACTGGACCAACCACACCTACGATTGAACATAACACACTGTAGCTAGACCAACCACACCTACGCTTGAACATAACACTCTGTAGCTAGACCAACCACACCTATGATTGAACATAACACACTGAAGCTAGACCAACCACACTTACGCTTGAACATAGCACACTGTAACTGGACCAACCACACCTACGATTGAACATAACACACTGTAGCTAGACCAACCACACCTACGATTGAACATAACACACTGTAACTGGACCAACCACACCTACGATTGAACATAACACGCTGTAGCTAGACCAGCCACACCTACGATTGAACATAACACACTGTAACTGGACCAACCACACCTACGATTGAACATACACTGTAACTGGACCAACCACACCTACAATAAAACATAACACGATGTAGCTAGACCAACCACACGTTACGTGTCGCACAAGATCGAGTCAAATGTATACCGTCGTTATAGTCTAGCCTCTGCTTCTTCATTAAGGGCTTTCCACCCGCTCTAGGCTTTACCGGTGAGACCACCGGGTTGTCGTCATTGCTGTCGTGCTCCCCATCTGACCTACTCAGATCAACGATCTCATCCTTGTTACTACTGATAGTATCCGGACGGTCGCGTTTCAGTGCTTCGCCTAAGTGTATAGAAGTGGGCATATGTGCGACACAATGCATGTGGAAACGTTGAGAGGTACGAAAACTACAATACTACACACTAAAACAGTACATTATCAAATTTCAAGCGATCATAGCTAAATTCAGAAGTACTTGAACATCCGATTGAAAACTTTTGGCTTTGAAATCAATGAAATCAATGAACAGTTTTGTAACCCAAAATCACAACTATCTGTACTGCTACTATACACACCTGGAATGGAAACAGCATTGTTTTCGCCATCGATGTGGGCCTTTTGATAGTGGTTGTCACGGTTGGTTTTCACCGCGAAAATAATACCACAGCCCTCAAATTCACATTTCCATGCTACACTGCCGCGGTCATTGACGAGTAATTTTCCCCTGTTATTAGCAATGTATTGAATATTTGAGGCAGGTTTGATTGCCGATAGGACCAATAACAAATCATAAATCAGGCAAGGAAAGGTATAGCGACAGCCGACCACGCGACATGGTACCAAATCCTAACAGAACAGCATGTTACCATTAAAGCAGGGCAAGGAAACGAACAGTAGGGAAGTCCTATATATAGAATCCTAACATGTAGAAAGCTACTCGTGCGCTATTTGTAGAACAACCTACCCTTGTGACTGGTACGCGGTGTACATTCTGCCGACATCGGGACTGTTGTCCGCCTTTATATGTGAAGAAATTTCGTGCATATAAACCAATGTTAATAGATAATAAGGTGTAAGATGGTATAGCCCCAACATGAGAGTTGATCCGAGCTCCAAGGTGTTTTGGAACAAATATCAAAACAGTTGAGTCCTTGTTTTGGCGGTCGGTGTATCTTGTGCGTGTGTATGATGGTATGAAATTATTTAAATGTTACTCTACAAGCATACTCTAACCAAAAATAATAATCAAATGTCTGCGAATAGTACAAACACACACACACACACACCACCTATAAATATATCTTGGATGTACATGATACACATGAGCTTACTTAGTGTATAGATACATCCTTATATGTATGTATTGTAAATTCACAGAAAAACTTGTACGTATGTACGGAAAAATTTACAGAAAGGTATTAAATAGTTGGGTACAGAAAACGTATGCATGCAGTGCTACAACCCGTTTGATGTATCAGCTAAGTGTAAGCAGCACTCCATCCTGAAGTACAGACTCGAGTAAGCAATTGAATCAGTCTTTGTTTTCAGTAAAAGACTAAGCTCACGCAAATCAACACATCAGATCTATACGAAGTATTAAAGGGCAAGCAAACCTGCAATGTCAAATACAAAACACAACCGTTCGCTCATTTACATGTGTAAATGTAGTCTCTGTAAAGTTATTTCTGTACGCACAGGCACTCTCACATCACTAGGAAACTAGCTTACATATACTCACATATACTCCCTATAATACAGGCACAGGCTTGGTACTATTTTGAACATACCAAGTGCCTGTTGTATAGATAGTCGGGATCGTCTGATCTGCCATATGTCCTATAGGATGCTAATGAAAATTTGGTATCAACGCCTGGCGGTGGCGTTGTGTCACGCCCCCCTGGTGGCGGTTGTGTGTTTGTTTGTGGATGTGACTGCGGTCGGGGTTGCGGCTGCGTATGCGACTGTAGCTGTGGTGCTAGTTGTGGTGGTGGTTGTTGCGACGTATGTGACCGTGGTTGTAGTTGTAGTTGCGGCTGAGGTTGTGGTTGTGGCCGCGGTTGTCGTTGTCGTTGTACATATGATTGCCATGGCTGTGGTTGTAGTTGTGGCTGAGGCTGTTGTTGTGGCTGCGGTTGTCGTTGTACATGTGATTGCCATGGTCGTGGTGGTAGTTGTGGCTGAGGCTGTTGTTGTGGCTGCGGTTGTCGTTGTACATGTGATTGCCATGGTCGTGGTGGTAGTTGTGGCTGAGGTTGTTGTTGTGGCTGCGTTTGTCGTTGTACTTGTGATTGCCATGGTTGTGGTTGTAGTTGTGACCGAGGCTGTTGTTGTGGCTGCGGCTGTCGCTGTACATGCGATTGCCGTGGTTGTGGTTGTAGCTGTGATTGTGGTTGTGATTGTCTTTGTGGTGGCATTGTGTCATGATAGTTCACGGGGTTGTGCTGGTGATACCCCACCATAGGTGCGGTAGGTTCGTTGGCTTCGCTTTGCCGTTGCATCATGCGTCGCAGTTTCTGGGCACGTAGCTCGATATCCATCAATTCCGATTCGAAAGATTTCGATTTGACCTGTCTGTTCTTTGCATTTTTCACTATCGCCTCCAACTTCCGCAACTTTGTCTCCCTATTATTTGCTGCCAGCTTAGCCCTCGTCTCCTTCGCTCTAATATTTGTCTTAGGTTGCCGTTGGCCATCCGGCCTGTCAGCCTGCGCATGTCTGTTCACAGCCATTCCTACCTGAATGTGTCCGTGTGGCTCACTAGGCTCGTGGAGTATGGTGTGTTCGTGTGCTCGTGTGTTCTCGTCCGTAGGCATCGACATAGAGCTATGCACCGATGAAGGCCTGTTTTCGACATGTGCATATTCGTCTGTGTGCGCTGGGGATATTTGCTGGTCATCTCCTGTGCCGAATGTATTTTGATTCACAGGTGTGTGCGTACGAATTCGCGATGGATTCCTGTCTGCCACACCCCCCATTTTACAATCGGAGATCATAGATTGAGATCGCGACACATCCACTTCTGTATTGCTGCTTGATTGTATAGTATGCTTTTCGGCTACAGAGCCATCGTTTCCGCTGTTGTGATACGAACTGTCCCGTCGGGCATCCCAAGTCTGCTCTCGATCGCCTCCACGGATATCCATGTTCTTATCACGTGTGTTCGTGTATCTGTCATGCGTGTCTGTGCGAGCACTATGCGTGTTCATGTACGGGCCATGTGAGCGTGACTGAGTGCGATGCATGTTGAAATGCGTGTCGTATGTATAGTTCTGGATGCACTGCCTATCCCTCGCTTTTGCAATTGGTTTATCAATCTGGCGTATTGTGTTGTCCCTTCGCTCAGCTTCATTCACGCCATGGTTAGAGTTATATTCTCTGCATGCACGCGTATCAGTGTATGCGATTCCATCTGAATGGGTACTTGCCCCAAATACACCCGTGTTCATATGCTCACTGGCGCTAGGTTCCGACGTTTCCTTTTGCCCATAGGCAACCGCCCGCCTGTCCTTAGCTGTCTTCGCGTACGGAGGTGTATGCGTCTCTGAATACGTCTCGGTGTACGTGGGGGCAGTATTACTCCCATCTACCGGGGGCGATGGCACATAACGTACAGGCCGCTGTAGCACAGGCAAGTGCATTGGATGTGGCGGAGGTGGCTGTGACCCATTGGCCAACACCGAAGGACAGATTGCATACGAATATCGCACACTTTGCTGTAGCTGTTGCTGTAGCTGTTGCTGTAGCTGTTGCTGTTTCACGTGTGCAGGCAGAACCTCAATAACCGGCTCTCTGGTAGGTGGTGTTTTTGACAGTGTAGCCTCCATTGCGCTGTGTGATAGCTTGTGCGGCTGCTATGGCGACTGTGTTCGACTGTGGTTCCGAAACCGTGGTTGTGTTTGCGGTAGTGGATGTGAATCTATATCTCTATGTGATGATGGCTGTACTCCAGGTCGCAATTGCGATTGGGAATGTGGCTGATTTTGGAATTCTGATTGTGGTTGTGCCAGTTTTTGCGACTGCATTTGTGGTTGCGATTCTACGTTCCGTGTAGAGCGCTCGTACGTTTGCGTCGATCCGTTTGGGAAATCAGATCTAGCAAGCGCACTCGACCGTCCAGCATTGTATACAGCGCTGTCCGAGCTGTTATCGGAATTGAATTTAGCTCCTGATGTGCTTGTAGCGCCGGTCTCAATCCGAGGTATGCGCACAACCTCCTCTGTGGATGGGCACAATTGGCTAGTCCTGTTCAAAGTACTGCCAATACAACTGGAGCGAGCTTGGTGCTCATGTTTGTGCGAGACACCGTCGTGAAAGCTCTTCGCCAGCGGTATTTTGGCTATTGACAGAAATCGTTTAATAATTATGATGTTTCAATCGAAATGATATTGTGGTAAAAATGCATTCCCATCTCAAGTAATGCAAAACAGAATAAAGCACAATGGCAATCCTTAGACAGGCCTCTATACTCTCCTGTTCAACCTCGAAACCCCTGCACAAGGATATTTTGCTGTGATACAAATAAAACACATTGATGCTATTTCGTATGAACAACACAACCAGACTGTGTACAACGAGCCTACGCGCATATCATTTCCATGTCATATATATTTTCAAATAATGACTCATGCACATGCAACCTACCTGACAGTGAAACTAATCCTAAACAAAAACGCGTTATGGAAGAAATTTAAGCCGCAAAAGTATACATACTAGATATGTCCAGACCATGCATGGATATTTATATTTATATATATATATATCTATATTTATATATATATATGATATATGTCTAT